GATATCTTCACTTAAAACCTGGTGTGAATCAGACTTTTTGTATTTTATCAATTACTCCGAAAGGTACTTTCAGACACAGTTTATAAAAAATAAACTAAAAAACAAAGCCTTCCTTCATATGTGCATTTAAATAATTTGATTTGTCTTAAAATAAATGTTATGCACAATTGATACAGATGTTGCTTCATACAAAAAATGCCAAGAATGCAGCGCATCAGGTCATTTCTTTTACAGAATATCTCCACTAGCTGATTGTTTAATTTCTTACTAATTCTTTTTAGTATTACAAGATGTAGGAACATTTAGGATGGAATTTTTGAAAGATTCCAATTTTTTCACTAGAAAAGATCATTGAAGATACTGTATATTGTGACCCAATGCAGTCACTTCCTAATGCAAACATTTTAGCGACTAAGTTACACAGTACAGATCCTGAAAATGTGTCAGCCTTTTTTTTTAATTTCTTGAATATTAAACAGTGCTGCTGCAGCAGCTGTTTATTACACTATCTTCCTTTGGAAAGACATATCTGAGAACTGTTTCGGGTAGCATTATGATTTTCCACTTTTTATTACATATGACTCATTTCGCCAGTGGAAAGTTACACACACTATGCTTAAATTGCTGGAACTGGAAAGGTCCCTCGCAGACAAGATAGGCAAGCTAGGGAAAACCTGCAATGTTGCCCAGACTCCAGTGTCTCTTTACCTCAGACTGTGCAGTCAAACTGATACTGCATAAAAGAGCGGTAACGGTGAAGGAAGAGGGGTTGCCATGCTTGCTGACAGAGGGTCCAATCATAGACATTCATCTCACATATAACACATTTTCAAACACATTGTTCTAACTATTGTAATGTTAAAGATTTGTACTTATTTTTCCGTACTTGGTATCCCTATAAGAGCAAATCTGCTTTTTCTCTGGTAAACTGCATTGATTTCAGCTCTCTTCTGTAAATGATTTGCTGTCTTGCTTTTGTGATCTAATTTTAGGTGTTGTGGCTTTGTTGTGTTATTGAAAGGAAGTGGAGCTGCCGACTATTTGAGTATCAAAGGAGCATAACATGAAACAAAAGATATGAAGCAATTTTCCACACTGCTGTGTTGTCTTTTGGAATGGGTTTCATATATAGTCATGGAGAGATGCGCTCATGTTAATAAGAAAGACGTATTGATAGTGATGTGTGAAATTACATTTGATTAAAGAAAGCAGTGATGCACCTTCCTATATGTTTTCTTTTCGAGAAATTAGGGGTTTCTAGAGAAGTTATCTCCTCTTAAAACACCCTCTGCCGTCAGTTAAGATATTGGATTATTCTATGATTATTTTAGTTCATGAAATATTTAAAGAATTTCTATATTTTTGGCTTTGGACAGCAGTCTATTTTGATCTATAATGAACACCATTTTCACACAGCCACATACTTTGAAATATTTTGTGATGACATGCAATCAATCTAGTTGTATATCTTGATTCTGACACTCTTCCAGGTTGAATGACCAGCTGTTTAAAGCTGCCCCAGACCTCTTATTTTCCTCTCACGTCCATCTTCTCCAAGAGCAAACAAAGATGTTCCAGAGCCAGCCATGACACATAATCTCCTCAGCGTGCCCTGTCTCTGAGAAGAATGTCCCTACAGCAATACACACACACCACAGCTCACTAAAGTGTATAGATTAATTACTTCAGTAAAAAGCAATATTCAACCCAAGCTGTGTTTTTCAATTCACAGATTAAACCGTAACATTATTGACTCCTGTAACGATGACTCTATATTAACGTCATGATGGACGTCAGTGGTGGTGCAATCATGCTAAAAATTGACCAGTGAGAAGGGGATCAATGCACACCATTGTCCTGAAAACCTAGTATTAAAATGTATTTCTATCTAAGCAAAATTAGATTTTTGAGAATGCAGTTAGGTTACAAAGCACACATAGTTTTGGGGACCTCACTGATTATGTGTGTTTGTTTTTTGGGTATTTTTGTGTGTGCTAAAGCAGTAAAACCTTATAGTCACTATATTTTATTTCACTTAACATTTGAGTAAGACTACATTGATCTTTTGTATCACGACTTTCTTTCCTGTATACGCCACTCAGAATATAATACAGATCTTTATCAGCTCATTATTAAATTAAAGATGGTTGTTTAATATACTAACTAAAGTTTCCTCACAACCTGAATTCACATCGTTTTATACACAATATAACAACTTAATAGAGGAATTATTGCCAATGAGAAAAGGTGACGTTCTCTTCTGAGCAAATTTCGGCATTTTGCCCTGTGTCCAAATACTTTTCTGATTTCACAGTTTAGAACCTCTTAGCTGCTGTAAAATAGGACAGGGCTACATTTCCTGAGCTCCTGCTGATGCAGACAAATCATTTGTACTTAGACCACCAAGTTGAAATAATCACTTGTCACGGTAGCCCATAAACAGCTACATCAGCGTAGCAGCAACAGTATATTTCAACATTTATTTTTAAACACACAAAGGCTCTAAAGTCTCTACCAAACATTCTTAAAAACAGTATTTCATTGAAATTTCTCCAAAATTTGCACGTGCTATATTCTGCTACATTTAACAAAATAACACCACTGCATTTTCCTAAAATAACCTGCCGTTAGAAAAAGGAACAATTATAATTGGAGACACCCCAAAGAGCGAAACTAAGAGAACAATGGAGTTAAGAATATGTTCAAATAAATAAATAAATAAATAAATAAAGTAACATGTTCATTCTGTGCTGCCCTTCATGTGCTTCCCATCCACTGAGGGAATGAAAAGTATGAGTCCATTTCTCCGCTGGGACTACCGGTGTGCTGATATCAGAGCAGAGCTGCTGACAGATGTAATACCATGACTGGTTACCATTTAGTTGGAGAAAACAGCCACGCCAACAAATACATTCAGTTGATCCATCAACTCTGAGACCAGAGCGTAACTATAGTTCCACCCTTTTGAGGTTTTGTATAGCCTTCTAAAATTGTTTGCAGAGTCATAAATACAAGCTTCGATGGACATCTTTTGTTCCAAGGGAGCAAAGCGTAGACCCTTGCTTTTCAAAGGACTTCATATAGCTGCTCTTCTCGAGTCCCACACTTGTGATGGTTCTTTTTCTTTGTATATATATTTTTTATAATAAAGTAACTTTGTCAGGTGCAAATTCGTTTTTACTCAGGGTTAGTGTTGGGTCAGGAGTACCATCTTATAAGGAATGGCCTCCTTTTATCTGAAATTGGTACTATGATTACAGCCACATACAAGTGGTCAAATAGTCCAATCTGCTGAGTACAGATGAGATGGAGACCAGCAGGGAGAGCAACCCGTCAGTGTGAGTCTTAACCATATGTTAGTCCACACTTTGGTATGGACTAACATATGATCTGATAAAACAATTAAGCTGTGACTGTTTTCTGGCCAGCTTATCAAAATAAACTTTATTGTATCTCTGAATCCATTCATCTGTTTAATTACTTTTGTGGTCACTATATTGACATTTTAATATATATATATATATAAAACATTTGCTGTTATCCCTTAGTACATTTGCCAGTTTACTGCAATGCTTGACTGTAAACATAAATTGCTTAATTCAAAAATCAAATGCACTTTTAAAAACAGCAATTGTCAGATCTAACAAAGCATTGGACTGGACAACTAAGAAACTTGCAGCTGCTAAGGTGGTTTGGCGACATGGTTGATTTTCAGCCACACAGTGCAGGCGAACCCCTCTGATATAAGAGAAAGGAAGCACTTGATGCAAATTGCAGATCTCCGGCAAAGTCATAACAATCATTTTCTGTCGGCACATGCAGCTAAAAGCCTTCATTGATTTCCAAAGCGTCTGAAGCACCGAGATCCAGGTGGTTAAGAATAACATTAAACAGCGTCTCGAAATATCCCCA